GGACAGCCACCATAATAAACCCACCTCCATCCTGGCACAATGCTCAGCACCCAGTACACAACTTCCAGCTTCCCTCTCTAGGGCCTTGTGACTACTTTTAATTAAGGGGCCAAGCAGAGTTCTAATTAAACAATCAGCGGATGGGTCAGCATCTCCCAAGTCCCAGCTGTGCTCAGCACTGGGAGCTGTGGATACCCCCCCAAAGCACCCAGCTGCAGGGCTGGCTCCCCCCAGAGGGACCTTGAAAACCCCAAACCACACCAGGACCGGCTGAATGAGAGGAACAGAGGTCATCCCCACCCCTCACCGAGCCAGGCTTTCCTGAAAAAAAAAAACAAAAAACAGGCCCCCAAATCCAGGGCAGCTCCCCCGCAAGACAGGGATGCTGCTCAGCCTGACCTTTGGGCACAACTGTGGCATCGCTGGGGAAAAGCAGCTGTGGGTGCTTTGAGCTTCGTGACCCACCTCCTCTGGGATGAGAAGAAAACAGCCCACACTGCAACGCTCTGGGATGTTGTAAATAAATATATTTTAATGATTCTTCTTCCATTCCAGTTCATTCTTTTATACATTTATTTATAAAACAGTAGTAAAATTTTTTAATCAGAGCACAGTGCATTAAAAAAAAAGAAAAATAAAACAAACAAAAAAAACCCCCGAAGATTAAAAAAAAAAAAATAAATCCACAACTGTTTATTCACAGCCAGGGGAATACGCCACGGCTTGTGCTGAGCAGCAGACGATCCTCTGCCCGCTGGTGCCCGGAGCAGGGTGGGTGCGTGCCCCAGCCAGCCCTGCACAGGCCGTGTCCCACCAGCGAGGGCCCAGCAGAAGCACCCCATAGCCACGATAATCCTAAGCGACCAAGGATCTCGTACACCCCACCCCGAAGCACCCGCACAGACCCTCTGGTGTCTGCAGATCCGCCCATGTCTGTAGGTGCTCAGCACAGCGTATGGGGTGCTGCTGCCCTGCCGTGGGGATTATCCTTTTTACAGGCACTAACGGCAACACACGAAGATGCCAAGGCCTCCTGTGAACGTGTGGGGTGAAATAACCCCAAACCTGCCAGGGCACAGCCCAGTGCCCCTCGCCCAGCACCCCGACATCCCCTCCGCCCCTCTCCCCGCACCCCAGCAGGGCAGCGGCCAGTCCCTGCACTGCCCCAGCGCCCCAGGACACCTCCAACGTGTCCTCCCTCTTCCCTTCCCCCTCTCCTCCCTCACCTTCTGCACATCCCCGTACCCTCTTGTCCAACAGGCACCTCTCCAGGGCTGTCCCCCACCTCACAACCCCAAATCCAGCCACCATGGAGCAAGCTTGTCCCTCCTGGGCTGGGCTTTCCCCTCACAGTCCTAACCCCACGACATCCCCCATCCTTGGCCCAGGATGGGGTGCACCCAGTGACCCCCGTCCCTGCGTGGGCCCCTGTCTATCCAGCCACAGCTCCCAGGGCCCGGGGGGGTGATGCTGTGCTCTAGTGCAGGATCACAAAGGGGTCTCCTCTCCCCAGCCTTCCCTGCACTCCCCTTCAGGCTTCAGAACAAATTTGGGTGATATTTTCCTTCTGAACAGTGTCCCCCTCCCCTGCCCAGCTCCCTCCCTGCCACCAGCCGAGCTGAGTAGACAAAAGTTGATGCAGAGCCCAAAGCAGCTCCCCATCACTGAGCCATCCTGGCTGGGGAACGAGCTGGTGACGCTGAGGAGAGAAATACACCCCGTGAGCCAAAGGCAGAGCAGCAGCTCAGGTTTGGCAATCGGCACAAATCACCCCCTGGTCCCTGGCCAGAGCCCAGACCTCCACGCCCAGACATGGGGCAGGACATCCTCTTTCAACAAGTATCCCCAAAATAAAAATCTTCTGTTCTTCTCTTCAGAGGGGCAGGGCTTGGTGTCGTGGGGCAGAGGCACCTCTGCAGGGATGTCCTGAGGGAGGCTGAAGGTCACCCGGCACCATGCAGCCCTTGTCCGGAGGCCAGCGAGGTTATGGGGTGCTGGATGCTGGCAAACCCTGAGGTGGGGTCTCCTCACAAGGTGGGGATCACAGCAGAGGGTTGAGCGAGCATCAAACACCCCATCCCAGCTGTTCTGGAAGGCTTCAACATCAACCTAAATTTGTAGGCTCCAACCCAGGTCACTCAGACAACACCCCCCCGTGCACCGTGAATTAACGTGCGCCAAATTAACACCCCCTCTCCCTCCGGCCCTGCGACCCAGGGAGGCAGCGGGTGCTCCGAGGAAGGAGGAATCATGAAGGACGTGGCACTGTGAAGCATCCACAGGGCTCAGAGTCCCCCACTGGGGAAGACTCCTTGGGGACGTGGGCTCCCGGCGCGAGATGGCAACGAGGCAGCAAGGCAGACAAAAAGCTCTGAGCATCGTCCCCCTCCTCCCGGGGACTTGAAGGCTCCTGTCAGCTCCGGCTTTGAGCCAGCACCCTGGGGAAGGGGTTCGCTCCGGGAGGGTTTCACTGAAAGGCAAAGCAGCCGAGATCACGCTCCCAGGCTGGGGAATCTGCAGTCAGGCCAACGCCATGGCAAGCCGAGAAGGTCCGCTCCAGCTCCTGGCAAAAAACAAGCTTGCGAAAGACATGGCGGTACCCGGCGAGCCTTGATCCGAGACCCCCGTTGCATAGAGAAAAGGTACTCCTACGTAGATTCAAGTGCGCGGCAGGACGGGCTCCTCCTGCGAGAAGAGTGCCCTGTAACTTCACTAACCAAACTCGAAGGTCCAGTCCTCGCCCCCAGCGTTGGAGCAGCTCCTCGTCACAGCATGTCTGCATCCTCCATGCTGAAGCTGCTCCGGCGACTGCTGGCCTTGGAGGCCTCTGGGGACATGGCCGAGAACAAGGGGTCGGAGGCCAAGGGCAGCATGGTGTCCTGCATCAGCATCAAGTCCAGCTCCTTCTTGGATAGGGATGGGAAGGAAGCGCTGTGGCCGGGCTCCAGGCTGTCCGGGAAGCCCCGGGAGCCGTCGTCGAAACTCAGGCTGTGGGTAAAGTCCAGCTGGTGGTAGGGAGACTGGGGTGGTGGAGGCAACGTTGGCTGCGGCTGCGATTCGGGGTCCGGCGCTGGCAGCAGTGGCTCCAGCGTCCCCTCGTCCCCGCTGGCTTCTTGCTTAACCACCTGCTGAGCCAGCTCGGCCACGTTGACACCCGAGGGCGAGGAGGTGGGCAGCCCGTGGACGCGTGCTTGCATCTCCAGCTCCTGCCAACAAAGCACAGGAGGGCTCCAGCGGGGACATCACGCGTGAGGACACGCACGTGGGCATTCACGGAGGCGGCAAGGACAGAGGGACCGCGAAGCTCACAGGGAAGGAGCCCATGGAAGAGGCGAAGGATGGAAAATGGTGACCCATGCAAAGCTCAGCAACACTCGCTGTGGTGGCCTGAGCCTCAGAGGTCTGGTTTGTCTGAAAGCTTTGCTCCTGGTGACTTGACAAGCCCTAAGAGGGAGGAGAGGCCTTGCCCGTCCCCTCGGCGGGGCAGGAGCGAGCTGCTGGCGGGGCTGGAGCAGAGCAGAGGGAGGGAAGAGCGCGGGGAAACTCACCTGGATGCGGAGCAGCAGCTGCTTATTCGTCATCTCCAGACGCCGTGAGTGATTCTCCAGGTCTCGTGACCTCTGCAAGTCCTTCTGCATCCTCTTGATGTAGTCCACAGACGCCTTCAGGATTGTCCCTTTGTTCCAGCGCACGTCCCTGCCGTGCAGGATGGAAAGATTGTCACCTGCGTGCCAGGAACATGTCCCCTCAGCCCTGCTCCACCAAAAAGCCCCTCTGGGAAGTATCGCCTGCCCTGGAGGCGAGGGGCAAGCAAGCCCACAAGACCCACAGTTACCCCAGCCCCGCAGAAACCACTGATACGTACAGGTCGTTGGCCTTGGGGATCAGCATCCCCAACTCTTTGATGCGGTCGTTGATGTTAAACCTTCGCCGTCTCTCGACTGCAGGGTGAGAAGAGAGGGATGGTGGTGAGGAGGCGTCGGGGAGATGGAGAGACTCGATGTCCCACAGCCCCCACCAGCCACATTGCTGCTCCTGGGGCTCGGAGCCACTGTCATGCCCCCCAAAAACCCTCCAGAGTTGGGGGGCTCAGGATGAGAAACCTCTGGGACCAACCCTTTGGCACTCTGCTCCCAGCCATCGCCCCAGCAGGTCTGACCTTCCCCCAGTGCTAACGAGAAGGACAAGAGGGCGTCTCCTGCACTGCAGACATTTTGCAGAGCTGAGAAGGAGCGAGTCAGGGCAGGGGGCTGTGGGGGGTGGTTTCTGAGGCGGGGGTGGGATGGGAAGAGGTTCAGCTCAGAGAGGGAGAGTGATGGGGAAAGGGCTGCAGGGGTGGGAGAGAGAAAGCCAGGCCACCCGCGGGCAGGCAGCGCCGAACTCACTCAGGTTGTGATTGTCCTTCTTCTGGCGCTCTTTCGCCAGGGCTCGGCTCTCCGCATCTGCAAGAGACCCACGACGTCACCCAGAGGGGACAAGGCTGCATCTTGCCCCATGAGCATCCCAGGTCGGTGCCAGAGCACCCCAGCATCCCCCAGAGCCTCCCTCCCCATCCACAGGGACAAGGCAGCCCCGGCCAGTTTTGGCACTCGCCGTCACCGCCGGCTCTGGGGCCGGGGACGTACCTGTCAGCTCTCTCTTCTGGGTGAGGTCGGCGGGGCAGGAGCTGCTGGTGACACCCACGAGAGAGGCTGTCACCTGGGGGTCTCCGCTATAGACATTCATGTGACTGCTGGACATCGGCAGCTGAAAACCAGAGGGACAGGCGGGTTAGCTCCATCCGGGGCTGTGGGACCGGGGTTCAAACCCGGCTGCTTGGCCTCTGGGATGTGAGTGCGTAGCCCAGGCAGGTGTAATTGTCTTCCTGGGCCCTTAAAACAGCTATAATCAGAGTAGCAAAGAAAACAGGACTTCAAAGGGCGCAGCTGATCCCCTCCCACGGCCAACATCTAAAATAGGGCAGATGAATCACATCCGAGAAGGGCTCGGCAGGATGAATCCCACTGGGAGGCACAAGCTGCCATATGGATCCGACCCAGGAGACGGGGCCGCTCCGAGAAAGCTTCTGGCAGGGAAACCTCTCCCGGCACTATCATCCCCCCGCGCTGCAGCAGATGCTTGGTCCATTCCCGCACCCCTCTCCCGTCTCTCCGGCTTTTTATGAGGGCTCCCCACTGCCACTAAAAAGGAGAAGAAGCTGAAGAACTGGCTCTTGCAGTTGCAAAAGGGAGATCTCGCCGCCTCCCTTCCCCCAGCCCCAGGGACACCCGTCCCAGGGATGAGGCTGCGTTGGGCTGGCACTGGGCATCGCTGCGGGGACGTGGCAGAGGGACAGGTCCCCTCTGTGCCACCTCCGTCCCTGCAAGCACAGGGCTGCGGGACCCCCAGGCTGCTCCCTCTCACACCCTGGGGTCTGAGCTCTTCCTAACACCCATCAGAGACTCACTGTGTTGGGCATGTGGACTTCGGGGTTCATATAGCCCAAAACGTCATCCAGGCGCATGATGTCATCGATGACCTCATCGAACTGAAAGGGAAAGGCAGAAAGTGCCAATGGGCTCCTTTTGCCCTTTCCAGCCCCTTTTGCCCCTCCCAGCAGCGCGGTGGCACCTCCTCACCTCCCGCTCGGGGTTGGAGCCGATGTTGAGCATGGCCATGGGGCTGTTGGGCGCGCTGTTGCCCGCCGACGAGGACATGACGTGGCTGGGTCGGACGCCGGGGGACGCGGCGGGGGGCGGTTTGGGAGAGTGGCTGACGGGGCTGACGTGGGCAGCAAACTTGTTCCCGTAGGTTTCGGAGAGATAAGCCTGAACTTTCTTGTCCCGTGACTTCTGCAGGTGGTACGTGGTGGGATTCTCCAGGTAGGACTGAACCTATGGGGAGACAAACCATGAGGGATCTTCCGCACCTTCCCCGGTCCTGGAGTTGGCGGCGGGGGGACACACTGTACCTTGAGGACCTCTCCAGGCACGGGCGGTGGGGACTGGTAGTGGACGGGGGTGTTGATGGCTGGGGTGGAGGCCACCGGCATCCGCTGCTGCTGCATGTAGTTCATCATCATCTGCTGCTGCATGCGCTCCCTCTCGGCCTCCTGCTGCGCTTGCTGCTTCATCAGCTCCATCCGCAGGCCGATGCGGGACGCCATGGTGACTAGCGGGGTGGGAGGTGGGAGCCCGCCAGGCACGGAGGTGACCCTGAGAGGAGGAGGACACGGCACATCAGCAGCAGCTTGTTTTGCAGCAGGGAAACTGAGGCACGGGGAGGGAGCAGGCATCCTGGAGCAGCCATAGCAGCTGGTGACTAAGCCAGACGGATGGGTATGCCCTCCCCAACACGCCACCGCTCTCCCTGGGGACAACCAGGGCACCCTGGGGGGGACGGGGAGGGCAGGGAGCAGCATGGACTCACGTACCGCCGGGTTCAGCTGGAGCGTGCTTTGAGCCACCAACTTCCAAAACACCGGAGCAAAGCAGGAAGGATATCAGGGAAAAAACAGAGCCCGGGAGCAGAGCGAAAGGGAAAGGGAAGGCAAGGGATGAGCAGGAAGAAAAGGCCGGCGGGTGCCAGGAGCCAGAGGCAGGGTTTAACCCTCAGCCCGGCTGCCCCAAAACCTCGGCTCTGGCGTGGGGCGAACAACGCGGCTTCTGTGCGGGGCCGGCACGCGAGCGCGGAGGCGGGGGGAGGCGTGCGAGGCCCCCGCACCGCACAGACCGGCCCTTGTTCCCCCGTACAAAGGGGACGGCGGCCCGTGGAGGGGGGCAGAGGATGCCAGGGCGAGGGGAGCTGCCCTACCCCGGCTCACCAGGGCACGACCGCGGCTTTCCATGGGGCTGGTTTCCCACCCGGGGCTGGGATGGGGATGCGGGAGATGCTGTATGGGATGGGGGCCTGGACCGCGGCATCCGCTGGGTGGGAAGCGGAGCACAGGACACAGAGCAAACACTGCCAGGGGACCAGGCAGGAGCCAAACACCCGGGGTTTGCTCTGCAGCAGCATAAGCAGACAAATCTGGAGGGTTTTGCTATTTAAATACAATGTGTAATTGCAGACAAAGGGGCCACGGCGGATACAACACACCGGGGTTTTGGTGAGGCATCTGATACACAGTGCCACGCGATATCCTAAGGGGGAAATTAAATCAAGCCAGCATGGACAGAAATACGATTACATGGATCAAGAGCCAGCTATTGAACGGCAAGAGGAAGGTAATTAATTAGACATGGTGGCCCATCTGAAGGGGGATGGGAGAAGAGGAGCCTGGGACAGTTATCAATCGGAGCTTCGTTAAGATGCCTGTCGCTGACGGCCTTAGAGGAGGGCACAGGGGGATGTCTGAGACGAGCAGCGGCAGAGCCCTGGAGAAGGACCCAGTGACACTAGGGACAGCCCACGGCAGATAAAACAAGGCTGAAGGGGGATAAACCGCAGCTGATGCACAGGGGGGATGTAATAACCCCAAATATTAAGGGCAAGGTGAGAGGAAAAGTGTCCAAGAGCCGTGACGGGATGGGATGAGCCGTGGTGGCGTGGAGGGACTGGCCATGCTTTGCCACCCCAGGTCACCCCACAGAGCCGGGGGACAGGCAGGGCAGGGAGGGGGAGAGGTGCAGGGCCCACGCCAGATGGCCGTTTTCGGGGGGCTTCCAGCATCAGGGCAGAGCAGGAAAGGGATTTCAAGCCATGCCTGGGAAACTTTGCAGTCAGCCCCTGTATTTGCATGCAGGCAGCTACCCACAGCCCTACAAAGCACGTGAGCAGCAGCAGGGCTGGGCGCACCCCACGGGTGGCTGCAGGGGGACCCTGGCTCGATGGGCGCAGGGTAGGGGGACACGATGGGGACACGATGGGGACAAGGAGGAAGCCGGAGGGACCAGCACCTCCAGCGCTGGGGAAAACCCGGTGTTGAGGGTGAGGATGGAGCTGCAGAGTTGGGGGGGTTCAGGCTTTTCTCAGGAAGGACAGCCGGTACGTGGGGGCAGGGGGGTGTCATGTGAAGTGAGCTCAGGCGTAGCCACCCACAGCACGGCGCCCACCACTCTGCCTGGCTGCAGGACCCCCCCTTATAGGAAAGAGGAGTGGGGGGAGTCAAAAGCGCTGCCCTCTCCCCCCGGGAAGCTCCCAGGGGAGCCACCGAGGGTGAGGATGGGGAAGGGTGACCAGAGTTGGGCCCAATAAGCAGAGGGGGGAAATTAGGTCAGGTTTAAAATAAGCCGCTTGGTTCTGCTTGGCTTCCCCCCCGCACCCCGAAACACTGAGCAGCTTCTGCTTTCGCTCTGAGTCAGCCCCAGTGGGAGGGCGGCGGGTGGGAGGGAGGCAGCCGGCAGTGGGAACGGATGGGGGGACCCAGCCAGCATCACGGCGCAGGCATGTCCCACCCTGGGGGACACGTCCAGAGGGGCAAAAACAAAGCATGCAGGATGGTGGCTCCATCCAGGATGCATGTTACTCCTGGGAAGGTGAAAGATGTCAGTATCCTGGAAAAAAATCACACCCAGCAGCTCTCCCTTCGAGCTGGAGCCATCCCCACGCGCGGGGTAGCCCCAGGTTAGTCCCTGCCTGGAGGGGACCCTGGTGAGGGTCTGTCCCGGCAGCTGGCCTGGCTCCGAGCGCGCAGCAGGGCGGCCCAGGGCATGCCCAGGCGTTGGGTTTCCTGGTGGGTGCTGCCAGGGCACCTGCTGGGGACACGTCCCCATCGGTCACCGAGAGGGGAGGTGGCAGGAAGCCCGGAGTGGGCGATGGAGCAGTGGGAAGGGGATGGAGAGGGAGAAGAGGGGCTGAAGGGTGGGAAAGCAGGAGGGAGCAGGGACAGGGTGGATGGCACCAGCCCCTCTCCACACCCTGACTCAATCTTTCCTGTCCGGGGGGGGGCATAGGGTGGCTTTTCCCACCCAGGCGGGTCCTCAGGCCCCTGCCCGTGGCACAGGGTGCGCTGCCCGTCGCTGCCCATCGGCAGGAGAAGCCTTGGAGTGGGGCTGATCCTGCAGCCCCCAGCAACAAGGGGGAGCCCAAAGCTCTGGCCCTGGGTTGACCCAGGAACAAAGGGACAAGGGACAGATTTCCCAAGAGAAACTCAACCTGTGCCTCAAAACCCCCCCCGCTGCTGCCCCTGCCTCCTTGGGGTGCAGGAAAACTCCCACGCCAGTGCAGGATTGCACCCTAACACCAGGGCAGCTCTTCCAGTGAAAAGGTGATGGGGAGCAGCGGGCTCCATTGGTACCCGGTCGGGGGGGGACCAGGCACCGGCCCCTCTCCACCACCACACACCAGACCCACCGCTGGGACAACGCGCGGGGCCAGAGCCAAGGGATTAATCTCCCTTCAAAATATCTCTGCTGCTATTTAGCGACACGGTTATTTCTGGACCTTTCTTGCTTTTCCTCTGGGGGTGTTATTTCATCAAGAGACCAACGCGCTCCTTTCCATGCTGGGGCAACACTTGGGGTGGGGGGGCTCCAGGCGGAGGATTCCTGATGGCACCCAGAGCTGCTCTGACCCTCACTCAGGCTTTTGCACGTCCCCAAGCTGTCCCCTGTCCCCATGGGAGCCCAGTGTCACCCCCCCTCCCCGGGCTGCTGATCCATTTTGCAAAGCAACAGCCGGCGGCGCGGGGTCGGCTGCTCAGCAACCACTGGTACTTGGTGGAGTGACATTGGGTGCTGCTCCGCAACGCGCGGGGCCGAGCACCAGCGTGGGGCACCCAGTGCCACCCCGAGGGGACAAAACACCTGGAGTCGCGCCACCGTCCCCACACCCATGCAGCACCCGCCGCCTCCTGCCCCAGCGCATCGCTGCGCCCAGGTGTGGGTTAGAAATAAAAGCTGCCGTGAGGCAGTTTCCACATTTAGCCCCTGCAAAATACAGGGGGATCGCGTTACCCTCCCTGGGTGGCCCAGTGGGAAGCTGCACCCGTGCTGCCTGTCCTGCCTGCATCCATGCTGCCTGCACCCACGCTGCCTGTCCTGCCTGCACCCACGCTGCCTGTCCTGCCTGCATCCACGCTGCCTGTCCTGCCTGCACTCAGGCTGCCTGTCCTGCCTGTATCCACGCTGCCTGTCCTGCCTGCACCCGCACTGCCTGTCCTGCCTGCACCCGCACTGCCTGTCCTGCCTGTACCCACACTGCCTGTCCTGCCTGCACTCAGGCTGCCTGTCCTGCCTGCACCCGCACCGCCTGTCCTGCCTACAACGTAACAGGCACATACACACTCTGCAAAACGCAGCACATCTCCTGCCCACCCCTTCAGAAGCTGGAGGGAGAAGAGGGGAAGCGATGCCCCGCTCAGCCCCAGAGACGCCGCCGAGAACCCCCAAACTCACTGCACCGAGGAGCTGCCTGCCCAGCCCCACTCCCTTGCCTGTGTTTATTTCCCGGTCGATTGTGGCCATTTGTGAGTGGAAAAATCAATCCACGGCTTCAACTGGGAGCAGGGACTCCCTGGGGAAGGAGTGGAGGCGGGGTGGGGGCCATGCCACCCCCCTACCCGCCGCCCTGGGCTGTTTCATTGATAACCAGGAGGGCAGCGAAAGGCAAGGGAGAAGAAAGAAGTGAAAACAGCCCTGTTTCTTGCTACCGACCCTGCCGAGCCTTCCTTCCCCGTTTTTCATTTTCAAATGCTGGAGGGGGGGGGTGAGACAAAAGGGGTGGCGAGCGACAGAGCCTGGCACACCCCAACCCTGGCAGGGCGAAGCACCCACCAGTTTTGGGGAGGCAGCGGTTGCTGGGTCCAGGCAGCCGGGAGTCTGGCGGGGTTTGCTCCGGACCGAAATCTGCTCCGACAGCGCCAAGCTGCCACCCCGCCGGGCACCCACAAAAACAGCCCCCACGGGTGTCCGCAGCCCTGGGACGGGCTCTGCTGCCACCCCGCTGCAGGGAAAGGGGGTGGCAGGGCAGGGGTTACCTGGGCGCAGGACGGCGAGGTCGGGGGGGTGCTCCGGGTGCCAGGGCCGGCGGGTTGCAGCTCCTTCGCGCTCCTCGCCGGGGCCAGCCTGGCTCCTGCGCCGGCCCCGAGTTTCCTCATTTTCAGGACCCTGCTTTTAAGGCGGCAGCGGCCACGCAGGGTGCAGCGAGGGGGGGAAGTTGCAAAAAACCTCCAAACCTGCTTGTTTTTCTCACTGCGACACAGGAGTTAGCAACCGAGCTGAGAAAAAAAGAGTGGCAAAAATAGAGGCAGCCACCACCGCCGGGCTCTCCGGAGTGGAGAGCCCAGTCTGGGTCTGCCCCAGTTGTGTCCCCTCGGGAGCTGCCTGAAAATGCAGAGGGGTAAAAGCCGTCCCTTGTCACTCCAGGGGACACAGGGATCCCTCACCCTGCGTGTGCCCTCAGTGGGGGTAGAGCAAGCACCAGCACGATGCAGCTGGATCCAGCCCTGCACGCCGCTGGGCAGCACGTGGGGTCCCTCCAGCACCCACAGCTGGTCCCCACCGGGATGGCAATGCCACCACCAGCCGGCACCAGCCAGGATGGCAATGGCAAAGCCAGGGGATGACAAGGACGCCTGTGTGACACCCCGCACAGCTGGCAGGGTGCTGGGGGACCCCCCCATACCCCTTTGTGCAAAGCCACTTTGCACCACATCCCTTCTGCGAGGGCAGTGCTGCACCTCCCCGCACACCCCGAGCAGGTCAAGCTCCCCCGTGCCGGGCCGGCGAGCCGCTGCCGTGCCACCCTGCCAGCAACGCGGCTGGCACCCGTCCGCTCCCGTGCAGCTGGGACCAGCCCCGCGGCCTCTCCCTTGCCCAGACTTGGCAAGGCCACTGCGGGGGTGATTTATGCCGTGCCAGCGTCCCCGTGGTGTCAGGGTCAGGTAACGCCGGCACCCAGCGGGAGGAAGGCCGGGGGCTTTCATCTTCATCGGCACGCGGAGCAGCGTAGGGCCGTGGTTGGAAGTTCCAGAAAGCGGCAGTGGGACAGGGTCCGACCTGGGGTTTTAGGAAGGGATCAGCCACACAGGTGGCCAAACCCTGTCAGCAGAGCAATCTCCATCCTTGGAGACACCAACCTAACACCAACACTGGCCACACTTGGGGCTGGATCAGAAGCTCCAGAGGTTCCATCCAGCCTATGTCCCCCTGGGATGAGGACGGGGTGGTGGGAAAGGGGGAGCACGGTCTTGTTTCCAACCCCAGAGAGCAACAGTGTCCCCCTCATCACCCACCCAGCAGGCAGGAGATGGGTCAGGCAGGTGGACGGCCAGAGCCACCCCAACCCCATCCGAGGCGCCTTC